CTCATAAGTTGCTTGTGGAATGCACGTTGCAGTTTTGCTATCTATATTTGTTAATAAGCCTTATAGACTCTATCCACCCAGGTCTCCATTCAAAGTTCCATGGTAAGTTGGCGGCCTTCCTGGTAAGATGCCCAGTCGCCACTTTCGGGGTCACAGGAGCTTACCGAAACACGGGTACACCGACTTCCCACGTGGAATATCCCCAAAGCAAGGTGCAAGGGTAGCAGAAGCGCTTGCTAAGAATGGTCTCCGGTTGAATGGAAAGGGTACCAAGTTCCTCAACCGCGATCTGTGCCCTAAACCCACGGCAGAGCGCCGTGGTGAAATCCTTCAAAGGAGAAAGGAATAAGAGTAAGGAGTATCAGGGCATCAATAGGCTGATGGTGGCGTGAACCAGACGATTTAGCGAATAAATGTGATCGAGATGAAAGTGGGGAATTCACCGATATCCCTCTGCGATCGGCGACACACCCGGATTCTCAAAGGCAATCTGTACCGCGGTGTGGTAAAGTCTGCTATGCCGTACGGCAGCGAGTGCTGCCCATATCTAACAACTACGAGAGGCAGGTCTAGTCTACGGAAATGAGGTTGCTAAGATGGGCCTGCGGGTGGACACAGCGAGAAAGAGTTAGAAACGAGGGCGCCAGGGCAGTCACACGGACGGCTTCAATCCGGCCGAACAGCAGCGACTGCTGTGGTATGGGCTCGTGCTGATAATGTATGAGGACAACCCAACAAGAAAAACACTGCACTTTGAGTACGGGGCAAGAGGCCACGTAAAGGACTATAGAAGAAATCTAAGAAGAACGGCGGATCCCGCGACAACGGTGAACAAGGTCTAGCATTGGATGTCTAGAAACCAATATCTTTGTTTTATTGCCATTGGACTGTTCACATTCTGAATTCCTATCTTTGGTTTCTTTTTCTTTGACTCGATTGAAAACCCTAAAGACACAACGTACGCTCAGCTGCGAGGTGCGTCCTTGGCATGTCCGGGGCTAACGAGCTCCAGCTGTCGAAGCGTAGCGGTTTCCCCGTCCGAACATGCGCGGGGATGGGGATCCAGGACCGTGGGATAGGCTAATTCCTCCATGCTCCGCCTAAAATGCAACTTGCGGCGCAGACATGCTGAACGCCGCAGCAACATCCCGATCCCGTTTATACTGGCCGTTGTCCGCGCTGCGCGTGTCGCGCGCATTTTGCCTTTTGCCTTTGCATTTTGTCAGGTCTTGTAATGGCGCTTTCGAAAACTCTATTCGCTGTGGACTTTTTTCGAATTTCGAAAAAAAGTCCGCAGCGAGCTAGAGTACAGATGTAAATGAAACATTAAAAAAATTAAGTAACTGTAAAGAAGAAGCCCGTGTAAATTTTCGCAATTCGACGGGGTTCCGGCCTCAAAACCATAAAAAGACGTTGAATTAACGAGTAAGACGCTTAGGCCATTTTCATGTCTGGTGGGAATGCGCGGCGCGGGAGACTGCAGAATCAGCACAGTTGCTTTTGAATTCTGGCATTCGTCATCATCTTCGATTCGGACTTTGCAGCATGAGCAACACCTCAAATGTTATCCGCATCAGGAGCTTGCGTTTAATTGTATTCAAAGCGCAATTACAAGACTTGGCAAAGTGCCAGAGCGCTGCGCGCAACACGTGCTGCGCAGAATCGGGAGTCTGCGCCGCAAGCATTTTAGGCGGAGCAAGGAGGAACTAGCTTATCCCACGGCCGTGGATCCCCATCCCAGTTCATCCTCCG